TTAACATCTATTTTGACCACGTAGTTCGTGAAGCCTTCAATAGCTGTACCGGGGGAATCTCCATATGGTACAGATATAATGGGAGGCTGATCGATGCCCGGGTGCGGTCAAGGGATGGCTCCCTATTGCTCAACCACGTTATGTATGCTGATGATTTGGTAATAGCTGCTCAGTCATAGGAGGAGTTGGAGACGCTGCTGCTGAGACTGAAGCGTGCCACTAAGAGGTGGGGCCTTACCATCAGCCCCACCAAAACTAAGCACCTGCCTGGGTATTTTGTACCATCGGACACTCCACCCCCACAACTCCCAATCGGTGATGGGGCAGTTGTGGAGAGAGTGGAGAGTTTCCCATACCTGGGCAGTGTGCTTATGACTGGCTCCAGTTTAACAGCAGAGGTCTCACTCCGAATCAGTCGAGCGGCAATATCTTTTCATCGGTTGCGTAACGCTGTGTGGAAGCTACCTGGTCTGTCGCTCCGCACTAAGCTTCAGGTCTTCTCGGCCACGGTCATTCCCTCCCTTCTCTACGCTTGCGAAACGTGGACCCCCCTAATGGAACATCTTCGCCGGTTAGAAACATTTAGGCTGGCCTGCCTACGATCCATCCTGGGTTTAACCAGACTGGATTGTGTGAGGAGCTCACAAATCCTTGAAAGATCTGGGCAAGGTCCCATCGGTGAGCTCCTCCGGCGGGCAAGGCTGCGATGGCTGGGTCATGTAGCCCGCATGCCCAGCCACCGCATGCCGAAACAGCTTTTGTTCGGCCGGATTGAGGGGGCTAAGCGGGCGCGGCACGGGCTAGAGAAGAGATGGAGTGATGTGGTACAGGAGGACGTGGAGCTGAGTGGACTTGCTGATGACTGGTACCAGCGGTGTCAAGATCGGCCTCTGTGGAGGAGGCTCGTGAAGGATGCTACTGGGCAGTTGGAGGTAGTCGCCCTCCAACATCAACGGAGGGCGGAGGAGCGACGTTCAGAACAACGAGCGGAGCGCCGGGTGGCTAAAGCACAGCAGGTTGGCACAGTAGGGGACACAGGTGGTGCATCAGCCAGTCATCTCAGTCAGTCGACCCGTGGCACCCGGGTCTGCCCCGTGACCTCCTGCCAGCGGGCGTTCAACACTTCACGTGGCCTCAGGGTGCACATAGCCTGGCACAAGCGTCGTGGTGACGTCACCGCCACTTGGTGGCGAATGGCGGTTGTTGTTGTTGTATGAGTTACTGGGTGTGTGAGTTACTGGGTGTGCGGGCTGTGTGTGAGTTACTGGGTGTGCGGGCTGTGTGTGTGAGTTACTGTGTGTGTGAGTTACTAGGTTTGTGAGTTACTGTGTGTGTGAGTTACTGTGTGTGTGAGTTACTGTGTGTGTGAGTTACTGTGTGTGTGAGTTACTAGGTTTGTGAGTTACTGTGTGTGTGAGTTACTGTGTGTGAGTTACTGCGTGTGTGAGTTACTGTGTGTGTGAGTTACTAGGTGTGTGAGTTACTGTGTGTGTGAGTCACTGTGTGTGTGAGTTACTGTGTGTGTGAGTTACTGGGTGTGCGGGCTGTGTGTGAGTTACTGTGTGTGTGAGTTACTCTGTGTGTGGGCTATGTGTGTGAGTTACTGGGTGTGCGGGCTGGGTGTGTGAGTTACTGGGTGTGCGGGCTGTGTGTGTATAAGTTATAAGGTGTGCAGGCTGTGTGTATGAGTTACAGGGTGTGTGGGCTGTGTGTGTATAAGTTAGAGGGTGTGCAGGCTGTGTGTGTATAAGTTACTGGGTGTGCAGGCTGTGTGTGTATAAGTTACTGGGTGTGTGGGCTGTGTGTGTATAAGTTAGAGGGTGTGCAGGCTGTGTGTATTAGTTATAGGGTGTGCAGGCTGTGTGTGTATAAGTTACTGGGTGTGTGGGCTGTGTGTGTATAAGTTACAGCGTGTGCAGGCTGTGTGTGTATAAGTTACTGGGTGTGCAGGCTGTGTGTGTATAAGCTACAGGGTGTGCAGGCTGTGTGTGTATAAGTTACTGGGTGTGCAGGCTGTGTGTTTATGAGCTACAGGGTGTGCAGGCTGTGTGTGTATAAGTTACTGGGTGTGCAGGCTGTGTGTATAAGCTACAGGGTGTGCAGGCTGTGTGTGTATAAGCTACAGGGTGTGCATGCTGTGTGTGTATAAGTTAGAGGGTGTGCAGGCTGTGTGTGTATAAGTTACTGGGTGTGCAGGCTGTGTGTGTATTAGTTATAGGGTGTGCAGGCGGTGTGTGTATAAGCTACAGGGTGTGCAGGCTGTGTGTGTATAAGCTACAGGGTGTGCAGGCTGTGTGTGTATAAGTTACAGGGTGTGCAGGCTGTGTGTGTATAAGCTACAGGGTGTGCAGGCTGTGTGTGTATAAGCTACAGGGTGTACAGGCTGTGTGTATAAGTTACAGGGTGTGCAGGATGTGTGTGTATTAATTATAGGGTGTGCAGGCTGTGTGTGTATAAGTTACTGGGTGTGTGGGCTGTGTGTGTATAAGTTATTGGGTGTGCAGGCTGTGTGTGTATTAATTATAGGGTGTGCAGGCTGTGTGTGTATAAGTTACAGGGTGTGCAGGCTGTGTAAACTATAAACTATAGGGTGTACAGGCTGTGTGTATAAGTTATAGGGTGTGCAGGCTGTGTGTGTATAAGCTACAGGGTGTGCAGGCTGTGTGTGTATAAGCTACAGGGTGTACAGGCGGTGTGTGTATAAGTTATAGGGTGTGCAGGCTGTGTGTGTATAAGTTATAGGGTGTGCAGGCTGTGTGTGTATAAGCTATAGGGTGTGCAGGCTGTGTGTATAAGTTATAGGGTGTGCAGGCTGTGTGTGTATAAGCTACAGGGTGTACAGGCTGTGTGTATAAGTTATAGGGTGTGCAGGCTGTGTGTGTATAAGCTACAGGGTGTACAGGCTGTGTGTGTATAAGTTATAGGGTGTGCAGGCTGTGTGTGTATAAGTTACAGGGTGTACAGGCTGTGTGTATGAGTTACAGGGTGTGCAGGCTGTGTGTATGAGTTACAGGGTGTACAGGCTGTGTGTGTATAAGCTACAGGGTGTACATGCTGTGTGTATGAGTTACAGGGTGTGCAGGCTGTGTGTGTATAAGTTACAGGGTGTGCAGGCTGTGTGTGTATAAGCTACAGGGTGTACAGGCTGTGTGTATGAGTTACAGGGTGTGCAGGCTGTGTGTGTATAAGTTACAGGGTGTACAGGCTGTGTGTGTATACGCTACAGGGTGTACAGGCTGTGTGTGTATAAGCTACAGGGTGTACAGGCTGTGTGTATGAGTTACAGGGTGTGCAGGCTGTGTGTGTATAAGCTACATGGTGTGCGGGCTGTGTGTATGAGTTACAGGGTGTGCAGGCTGTGTGTGTATAAGCTACAGGGTGTACAGGCTGTGTGCTTCCTCTCCGGTGTCGGGTTCGGTAGCAGTGGACTACAGCAGCCGTCTCACCGTCGTCTTGGCTGTTGACATAGCTGGTGTCAGTGTGCACAGCTGCCGCCCGCCCCCCCCCGTCTGGTAGCGAACTTCACAGCACTTGCCTCAGCGGCCACACTTTGCCACCGAGAGCCACAGCCCCCCCCCCCCCCAATTCGGCAATGATGGTACTGCTGGTCTTTAATGATTTGAAGGTGGTCTTTAATGATTTGAAGGTGGTCTTTATTGATTTGAAGCTGGTCTTTATTGATTTGAAGGTGGTCTTTATTGATTTGAAGGTGGTCTTTATTGATTTGAAGCTGGTGTTGATTTGAAGCTGGTCTTTATTGATTTGAAGCTGGTGTTGATTTGAAGGTGATCTTTATTGATTTGAAGGTGGTCTTTATTGATTTTAAGCTGGTATTTATTGATTTGAAGCTGGTCTTTATTGATTTGAAGCTGGTGTTGATTTGAAGCTGGTCTTTATTGATTTGAAGCTGGTGTTGATTTGAAGCTGGTCTTTATTGATTTGAAGCTGGTGTTTATTGATTTGAAGGTGGTCATTATTGATTTGAAGGTGGTCTTTATTGATTTGAAGCTGGTGTTTATTGATTTGAAGCTGGTGTTGATTTGAAGGCGGTCTTTATTGATTTGAAGCTGGTCTTTATTGATTTGAAGGTGCTCCTTTTTATTTGAAGCTGGTCTTTATTGATTTGAAGCTGGTGTTTATTTATTTGAAGCTGGTGTTGATTTGAAGGTGGTCTTTATTGATTTGAAGCTGGTCTTTATTGATTTGAGGTTGGTCTTTATTGATTTGAAGCTGGTCTTTATTGATTTGAAGCTAGTCTTTATTGATTTGAAGCTGGTCTTTATTGATTTGAAGCTGGCCTTTATTGATTTGAAGCTGGTGTTGTTCTAGGAAAGCCTCACTGAGTCTAGAGACTCTGACGGGAGGGTTGGGACGTTCGGCACTGAATTCTCGTGGGAGGGGAGCACAAATCACACTGAGGAACCAGAGAGATGGGGACGCACGGCTCAAGATTCCCCTGCGGTCATGGACCCAATGGCGCACTGCCCGCTGGTGGCTGCCACTGCTGAGGGGGGGGGGGGCATTACGTGGGAAGAAGGGAGCACGCGATGGAACCGACTCCGGTCCCTCTTGAAAAGGAGACTCATGCTGGCCTCTTGAGTTCCCACCGGGTTAAACAAAAACATCGTTAACTTTACACAAATCGGGACTTTTAATGGTTGTTTGTGTTTCGAAAAGACTTCCGGATTGTCTAGGACCGCGAATTCAAAAGGACGACTGTCTCTTGGGAAGAAAAAAAAACAGAATATGTGGACTCCCCTAGACGACCGAATCCCTCTCTCGATAGGGGACAGGGGCCGGGCCCCTCTGGGGCCGCCAGGGAGCGAGCGGTGCCTCGCTGGGCCCTGCTGGGGCTCGGGGTCCCAGAGGCGCGGCGGACAGGAGGAGAGGGAAGCAGGGAGAGAGAGAGGAGCCGCTGCGTGCTGCTGCCCCATTGTGTTGTTGTTGTAGGCGCTGATCAGCTTCTCCCTCTTCTCTCTCTGGCTGAGGTCGCCGTGTGGGGGAGGGGCCGAGAGGGGCTCACACAAAAGGGCCCCGCGGGAGGCCGAGAGGCGACGCCACTTTACTTCACCGTCGCTCCGGGCCGCGCCGCTGTCCGCGTGTGGGACTCGGGGGCCCAAAGGGGTTCCGTCCAGGGGGTTCGGGTCCCCCGTGTTTAGTTGTGGGGCCTCCCCGACCCACGGAGCTCTCAGTTTCGTGGGTCGCGAGAAGGAGCTGGAGGTGGTGGTGGCTGCAGGGCCCCAGGTAACTCGGCGTCTTGCTCCTTGGGACCACGGGATGGTTGTGCGGGGAAGTCGCTGCTGCTGCTGTTGTTGTTGTTATCTGCAGAGCGAGATTATAGACTTTGTGTCGTGGCAGCCGCGCTCCCATGGTTACATGTGGCAGTGTAGACATCGCTATCGGAGGTGATTGAGGAGATTGCTGTGGTGGTCGCGGTGGTGTCGATGTGGCTCGAGGCGATGCTGATGGTGAAGGTTATGGAGGAGGTGGAGAGAGTTGCTGTAGAGGGTACCGTCTCGAACGCATGCGACAGTCTCTGTCAGTCTCCCTGTCTCTGTGTGTCTCCCTGTCTCTGTGTGTCTCTGTTTCTGTGTGTCTCTGTGTGCCTCCCTGTCTCTGTGTGTCTCCCTGCCTCTGTGTGTCTCTGTGTGTCTCCCTGTCTCTGTGTGTCTCCCTGTCTCTGTGTGTCTCTGTGTGTCTCCATGTCTCTGTGTGTCTCCCTACCTCTATGTCTCCCAGTCTCTGTGTGTCTCTGTGTGTCTGTGTGTCTCCCTGCCTCTGTGTGTCTCCCTGCCTCTGTGTGTCTCTGTCAGTCTCCCTGTCTCTGTGTAACTCCGTCTCTGTGTGTCTCTGTGTGTCTCCCTGTCTCTGTGTGTCTCTGTCTGTCTCCCTGTCTCTGTGTGTCTCTGTGTATCTCTGTGTGTCTCCCTGTCTCTGTCTCTGCCTGTCTCCCTGTCTCTGTGTGTCTCTGTGTGGCTCCCTGTCTCTGTGTGTTTCCCTGTCTCTGTGTCTCTGTCTGTCTCCCTGTCTCTGTGTGTCTCCCTGTCTCTTTGTCTCTGTGTGTCTCCCTGTCTCTGTGTGTCTCCCTGTCTCTGTGTGTCTCTGTCAATCTCCCTGTCTCTGTGTGTCTCTATGTGTCTCCCTGTATCTGTGTGTCTCTGCCAGTCTCCCTCTCTCTGTGTGTCTCTGTCAGTCTCCCTGTCTCTGTGTGTCTCTGTGTGTCTCCCTGTCTCTGTGTGTCTCCCTGTCTCTGTGTGTCTCCCTGTCTCTGTGTGTCTCTGTCTCCCTGTCTCTGTGTGTGTCTCTGTCTTCCTGTCTCTGTGTGTGTCTCTGTCTTCCTGTCGCTGTGTGTCTCTGTGTGTCTCCCTGTCTCTTTGTCTCTGTGTGTCTCTCTGTCTCTGTGTGTCTCTGTGTCTCTCCCTGTCTCTGTGTGTCTCTCTGTCTCTGTGTGTCTCTTGTATGTCTCCCTGTCTCTGTGTGTTTCCCTGTCTCTGTGTGTCTAGCTGCATCTGTATGTCTCTGTCAGTCTCCCTGTCTCTGTGTGTCTCTGTCAGTCTCCCTGTCTCTGTGTGTCTCTGTGTGTTTCTGTGTGTCTCCCTGTCTCTGTGTGTCTCTGTGTGTCTCCCTGCCTCTGTGTGTCTCCCTGTCTCTGTGTGTCTCTGTCTCTGTGTGTCTCTGTGTGTCTCCCTGTCTCAGTGTGTCTCCCTGCCTCTGTGTGTCTCCGTGTCTCCCTGTCTCTGTGTGTCTCCCTGCCTCTGTGTGTCTCTGTGTGTCTCCCTGCCTCTGTGTGTCTCCCTGTCTCTGTGTGTCTCCCTGTCTCTGTGTGTCTCTGTGTGTCTCCCTGTCTCTGTTTGTCTCTGTGTGTCTCCCTGTCTGTGTGTCTCCCTGTCTGTGTGTCTCCCTGCCTCTGTGTCTCCCTGTTTCTGTGTGTCTCTGTGTGTCTGTGTGTCTCCCTGCCTCTGTGTGTCTCCCTGCCTCTGTGTGTCTCTGTCAGTCTCCCTGTCTCTGTGTAACTCCCTGCCTCTGTGTGTCTCTGTGTGTCTCCCTGTCTCTGTGTGTCTCTGTCTGTCTCCCTGTCTCTGTGTGTCTCTGTGTGTCTCCCTGTCTCTGTGTGTCTCTGTCTGTCTCCCTGTCTCTGTGTGTCTCTGTCTCCCTGTCTCTGTGTGGCTCCCTGTCTCTGTGTGTCTTTGTGTGTCTCCCTGTCTCTGTGTGTCTCTGTCTGTCTCCCTGTCTCTGTGTGTCTCTGTCTGTCTCTGTGTGTCTCTGTGTGTATCTCTGTCTCTGTGTGTCTCTCTGTCTCTGTGTGTATCTGTGTGTCTCTCTGTCTCCCTGTCTCTGTGTGTCTCTGTGTGTCTCCCTGTCTCCCTGCTTCTGTGTGTCTCCCTGTCTGTGTGTCTCTGTGTGTCTCCCTGTCTCTGTGTGTCTCTGTCTCTGTGTGTCTCCCTGTCTCAGTGTGTCTCCCTGCCTCTGTGTGTCTCTGTGTGCCTCCGTGTCTCCCTGTCTCTGTGTGTCTCCCTGCCTCTGTGTGTCTCTGTGTGTCTCCCTCTCTCTGTGTGTCTCTGTGTGTCTCCCTGTCTCTGTGTGTCTCTGTGTGTCTCCCTGCCTCTGTGTGTCTCCCTGTCTCTGTGTCTCTGTGTGTCTCTGTGTGTCTCCCTGTCTCTGTTTGTCTCTGTGTGTCTCCCTGTCTGTGTGTCTCCCTGCCTCTGTGTCTCCCTGTCTCTGTGTGTCTCTGTGTGTCTCCCTGTCTGTGTGTCTCTGTGTGTCTCCCTGTCTCTGTGTGTCTCCCTGTCTCTGTGTGTCTCTGTCAATCTCCCTGTCTCTGTGTGTCTCTGTGTGTCTCCTTGTCTCTGTCTTTGTGTGCCTCCCTGTCTGTGTGTCTCTGTGTTTCTCCCTGTCTCTGTGTGTCTCCCTGTCTCTGTGTGTCTCTGTCAATCTCCCTGTCTCTGTGTGTCTCTGTGTGTCTCCCTGTATCTGTGTGTCTCTGCCAGTCTCCCTCTCTCTGTGTGTCTCTGTGTCTCCCTGTCTCTGTGTGTCTCCCTGTCTCTGTGTCTTTGTCTCCCTGTCTCTGTGTGTCTCTGTCTCCCTGTCTCTGTGTGTCTCCCTGTCTCTTTGTCTCTGTGTGTCTCTCTGTCTCTGTGTGTCTCTGTGTCTCCCTGTCTCTGTGTGTCGCTGTGTCTCTCCCTGTCTCTTTGTCTCTGTGTGTCTCTCTGCCTCTGTGTTTCTCTTGTGTGTCTCCCTGTCTCTGTGTGTCTCCCTGTCTCTGTGTGTCTCCCTGGCTCTGTGTGTCTCCCTGTCTCTGTGTGTCTCCCTGTCTCTGTGTGTCTCCCTGTCTCTGTGTGTCTCTGTGTGTCTCCCTGTCTCTGTGTGTCTCCCTGTCTCTGTGTGTCTCTGCCAGTCTCTCTCTCTGTGTGTCTGTCAGTCTCCCTGTCTCTGTGTGTCTCCCTGTCTCTGTGTGTCTCTGTCAATCTCCCTGTCTCTGTGTGTCTCTGTCAATCTCCCTGTCTCTGTGTGTCTCTGTGTGTCTCCTTGTCTCTGTCTTTGTGTGCCTCCCTGTCTGTGTGTCTCTGTGTTTCTCCCTGTCTCTGTGTGTCTCCCTGTCTCTGTGTGTCTCTGTCAATCTCCCTGTCTCTGTGTGTCTCTGTGTGTCTCCCTGTATCTGTGTGTCTCTGCCAGTCTCCCTCTCTCTGTGTGTCTCTGTGTCTCCCTGTCTCTGTGTGTCTCCCTGTCTCTGTGTCTTTGTCTCCCTGTCTCTGTGTGTCTCTGTCTCCCTGTCTCTGTGTGTCTCCCTGTCTCTTTGTCTCTGTGTGTCTCTCTGTCTCTGTGTGTCTCTGTGTCTCCCTGTCTCTGTGTGTCGCTGTGTCTCTCCCTGTCTCTTTGTCTCTGTGTGTCTCTCTGCCTCTGTGTTTCTCTTGTGTGTCTCCCTGTCTCTGTGTGTCTCCCTGTCTCTGTGTGTCTCCCTGGCTCTGTGTGTCTCCCTGTCTCTGTGTGTCTCCCTGTCTCTGTGTGTCTCCCTGTCTCTGTGTGTCTCTGTGTGTCTCCCTGTCTCTGTGTGTCTCCCTGTCTCTGTGTGTCTCTGTGTGTCTCCCTGTCTATGTGTGTCTCCCTGTCTCTGTGTGTCTCCCTGTCTCTGTGTGTCTCTGCCAGTCTCTCTCTCTGTGTGTCTGTCAGTCTCCCTGTCTCTGTGTGTCTCCCTGTCTCTGTGTGTCTCTGTCAATCTCCCTGTCTCTGTGTGTCTCTGTGTGTCTCCCTGTCTCTGTGTTTCTCTGTCAGTCTCCCTGTCTCTCTGTGTGTCTCATTGCCTGCCACCTGTTCCTCGTAGCCTGTCTCGATGTGCGTCTACAGGACCCCTCTTGCCTGTGTCTACGTCTACAGGATACTAACTAGGAGGAGATGGTGGTGGTGCCGTGCCGGCCTTCATAGGTGCTGCTCGCGAGCAGCACTTGCCCCAGCAGTCTGTAAAGGCTACAGGGGGATCTTTGTTTGGAGGTGGCTGTATAAGTGGAGGAGGAAGTCGCGGTAGTTATAAAAGAGGTTGCGTTTGATGAAGTGGCTACAGTAATGGAGGATGTGACTGGTAATATTGGGTAGCGGAGGAGGTGGCTGGGGTAGTGGATGAGGTGGCTGGAGTAGCGGAGGTGGCAGGGGTAGTGGATGAGGTGGCAGGGGTAGTGGATGAGGTGGCAGGGGTAGTATATGAGGTGGCTGGGGTAGTGGATGAGGTGGCTGGAGTGGCGGAGGAGGTGGCAGGGGTAGTGGATGAGGTGGCAGGGATAGTGGATGAGGTGGCTGGGGTAGTCGATGAGGTGGCTGGGGTAGTGGATGAGGTGGCAGGGGTAGTGGATGAGGTGGCTGGGGTAGTGGATGAGGTGGCTGGGGAAGTGGATGAGGTGGCTGGGGAAGTGGATGAGGTGGCTGGGGTTTTGGATGAGGTGGCTGGGGTAGTAGATAAGGTGGCAGGGGTAGTGGATGAGGTGGCAGGGTTAGTGGATGAGGTGGCAGGGTTTGTGGATGAGGTGGCTGGGGTAGTGGATGAGGTGGCTGGGGTAGTGGATGAGGTGGCAGGGGTAGTGGATGAGGTGGCTGGGGTAGTGGATGAGGTGGCAGGGGTAGTGGATGAGGTGGCAGGGGTAGTGGATGAGGTGGCTGGGGAAGTGGATGAGGTGGCTGGGGTAGTGGATGAGGTGGCTGGTGTAGTGGATGAGGTGGCAGGGGTAGTGGATGAGGTGGCAGGGGTAGTGGATGAGGTGGCAGGGGTAGTGGATGAGGTGGCTGGGGTAGTGGATGAGGTGGCAGGGGGTAGTGGATGAGGTGGCAGGGATAGTGGATGAGGTGGCTGAGGTAGTGGATGAGGTGGCTGGAGTAGCGGAGGAGGTGGCAGGGGTAGTGGATGAGGTGGAAGGGGTAGTGGATGAAGTGGCTGGGGTAGTGGATGAGGTGGCAGGGGTGGTGGATGAGGTGGCAGGGGTAGTGGATGAGGTGGCAGGGGTAGTGGATGAGGTGGCAGGGGTAGTGGATGAGGTGGCAGGGGTAGTGGATGAGGTGGCTGGGGTAGTGGATGAGGTGGCAGGGGTAGTGGATGAGGTGGCAGGGGTAGTGGATGAGGTGGCAGGGGTAGTGGATGAGGTGGCTGTGATAGTTGGAGGTGCGTGGGAAGTTTGGGGCCCAGCTTAATGAGAGCAGCGGGCGGCCCGGGCGTCTCCATGGCGACGGGACCCGGGCTCTGCCGAGGAAACAAAAACGCGGCCGAGTTCGGTGCACGGGTCCAGTGGTGGTGGTTGTTGTTGTTGTTTCAATAGTGGTTGCTGTGTTGGTGGTTGTTGATTTAGAAGTTGTTGCTGTGTTAATGTTTTTGGTGACTGTGTTGGTCGCGGTTGTTGGGGTACTTGCAGGTAGAGGGTTCTGATTCTGAGGTGGTGTTTGGGACACTGTCGTCTCTTGTTGCACCGGGGGTGGTTATCGTGGCAGAGGTTTTCATTGAGGTTCTTGTTATCACTCACGGATCCTTTCGATCACATTCTAACGCCTTATTTTAATTAAAACCCACCCGGGGTCACAACACAATCTTTTCTGTTGACGTTCGGTAGGTTTAGCGGTAGCCGTGGCATTGGTAGTTGCAGTTGTGTGGCTGTCGACCGTAGTAGTCCACACGACAGACAGCGCTGCCCCGCCTCACAGCTCCGTGATGCTCGCCACCATCACCCCACACCGCCGCCGCCGCCACATTCCCTCCCGTGCCACACATTGTTGTACACACGTGTTACCGGTTCTGTGACACACACACACAGAGACACACATTACACACTGGCTCAACACAAACCACACAATGGCAGGATCGTTTATCCTCCCGTAACCCCCTGCCGACATCATTGTTCTCGTGACGTTCCTTCGGTAGCGATGCTGCTGATGCTGCTGCTGCACCTTTGGATCCCGCCGATGGCGGAGGGCATTGTGAGTCGAGCGTGGCCGATCAGCAACCCCAGACAGGGGTCGCCAAACGTCGTCAGCCCCGACCACGTCTCCTGCACCTTGCATTAGCGGCATTAAACACGCAACACACACGCCGTGTACAGCAGTATTAACCAGAGACACTGTGTACACACGGTGTGTGTCTACTGTGTGTACACAGTATGTACACACATGCTGTGTACGCGCAGTATGTGTGTACACAGGAGTGTACTCGAGCCTGGAACAACGCAGTATCTTGTACGCAGTATTCACTAGACTTGTTACTGTGTACTAACAGTACACTGCAGACTCTCTGTGTTGCCAGTTCACCATGTACACTTAGTAGCAATAATCAATTACAGCCATTTTTAAGTTCACTGCTGGATGAAGGCCTCTCGCTACTGTATTAGTCATGGGACTTGTTTGATGAAACTTCACCACACTGGTCAGTGCGAGTAGGTGAAGTTGGGGTCTTGGGGTGGAGGGTGGGCAAGACCGGTTCAGATATCACTTTACCGCGGGTTGCCACCAGTCCGTGTTTGACACGGGGATGGTCCTGGTGTGTAAGCATGTGTGCTTGGGTGACCGAGATCTGGTACCGGTTTTGGCGTGTGACATTTATTACAGCCTTGAGAAACAGATCTGAGCCCACTGAGAAATGTGTCTGCGTTTATATTGTGGAAAAAGGTGGCAGCCTAATTCTCCACTGATGTTAGCAGTGGGTGTGGGGAGTCCCCAGTTTCAATTTACTTAACGATACATTTGGCCAAAAGTCATTAGTGGGCTAAATTTGTCAAATGTTATTACATCAAATATTGTCAAATGTTATTACATCGGTAGACGAGACCTCCCTCCCCACCCACACCTGGAATGCTCTTGCGGCGGTCATTTCTGTGCGTTCGTGTTGCGTCTCGTTCAGATTTCAATTCATTATTTGCCAACCAGAAATGCAGCCGTTTCATAAGAATGACATGCATAATGAAACATCTCCTTTTCAGTTTATTTGTTTGAAATTCAACCGTGTTTATGATTTGGGTTTGTCCATGTTGGTGCATTTTTTACCAATCTTATTACATTGTTTTTTTTTAATCTATGGGATGAAACTTATGCAGAACAAACAGAGAGAATACACACTGCACACAGAAAGGAGACCAAGTCGGGAATCGAACCCAGGTCCTTCTTGCCGTGAGGCACGAGAGTTACCACAGCACCACCCTGCTGCGCGATGCTGCCAATGAATCCGTAACATTTTGTCCGATAAAGTTTCTCCTCACCTTGGCTTAAGACTTCAAATGACTGAATTCCACATCAGCATATAATAATGTATTGAATGGCGTATTTTCTATGCTTTGGTGGTACATGTGTATTTTTCTGTTGTGTTGGATTTGCTTAAACCCAGGTTTTAAAAATACACGTGTGATCTCATCTCTGGACTCTAACCAGGTTAATATCAAGGCCATCAACAATAGTCCACGGCCCTTTTAATTAAAAGTTTATTTTGTTTAACCGGGTGTGAATTCAACAGACCAAGGTAATAGTCTCATTTGTAAGCGTGACTTTGGTCAGCACAATGGAGCAAATATAAATCACAATACTACTGGATGAAGGCCTCTCCTTGCTGTGTCAGTCATGGTGGTTGATCATGTTTCACCGTGCTTTTCAGTGGAAGTTGGTGAATGGGGTGGGGGCCCAGGACCGGTTAAAATAAAAATCCCCACGGCTGCAAGCCATGGCCGGGAAGGGAACGCTGGTCGCGGGGTTCAGAGCGCTATGAGCTAACCGCTGCGCCACCACTTGACCTTTAAATGTCCTCGACTAAGCTAAAATTAGAAGTAGCAAAACTCGCTACATACTTAGACAAATGAAAATTTGTCTTCTGTTTTTCATTTATTGCGTCATAAAAAACCCATGACGTTTAAATCCGAGTCCTGGTCTTGAGTGAGATTAGTTTTGCAGAAGAATCTGTTCAACCAATTTAACAAAGTTTTATACAAACTAACAGCCATACTCTCCAGCAAAACAGGCTTTTTTTCCCAGTCACTGTGTTCGGTCCTGATTGTACCAGATGGGTGTTGTGTCTAGGTTTTGTCTGGTTGTTGTTTGGAGGTATTGTCTGGCTGGTTGATGCGCCGCGTGTTGCTGCACTGTGAGGAGTGTTTCTGCAGCATGAGTTGGTGTATACGTCTCACCCCTCTGTACCAAGGGCAGCGATACAGCCGTAGTGGAGTTGTGGTCACGGTTGTGGTGATACGGTCGCGGTAGCGGTTATTTGGTTATGGTGGTGGTGATGCAGTCATGCTTATCGGGTCACGGGCGGCGGCTTTTTTAGTCACGGCGGTGGCGATATGATCACGGTGATGGTGGTAGTGTCGATGCCATACGTGTGTATAAATGTGCCTCTTTGTTTTTATTATTTCGTCCTCTAGAAATGCCATCTAGAGCCGTGCAGCGGGAGACCGTGCACTCTGACGCGCAATTGGAGCCAGATTGCGGTGCGTACGCTGCTCCCAGCCACGGTCTGGGATTTTCCCACGCTTACAGCGGCGGTACCGACTTGTCCGGGGCCGTGGACGGGAGCTCGAGTGAGGACGAGGAGCCAGTCGGGCGGTGGGACGCCAGAACTTACCGTGGCCGCTCGCGTTACGGTGACACGCGACTCCTCACCTCCGCGACTCACAGCGGCGGAGTGGCGAGTCGCAGGGAGGGAGGATCCCGGACCACGGACCACGGTGCACAGGTGAGTCCGCGGACCTGGAGGCTGTCTCCGCCGGACCTGTCGTGGTTCATGTCTCACCACGAAAAAGATAGCTGCAGCTATGGTGGTGCTAGTAGTGGAGTGAGTGATTCTAGGGAGTTTTTACCCCTCTTCCACTGGCACATCCGAGCTGAGCCATCGCAGGGCCATTGCAGTACAGGTGGTTTTCCACTGGCTCTTTGCCATGCGGAGCCACAACCAAACCCTGATACGCTGGGTCCACAAGGCACCTGAATCTAGCTCTGGGCCAAGCAGGGCCGAGAGTGAGTCTAACGACTGGTGTTCATTACGTGTGATGTCAGTCAATACAACTCAAGTGCAGCGTCACCGCATTGTCTACACGCGTCTCGATTCGTTCATTGCATGCACCTCTTGCCTCCCTGAGCTACGCCGGGCTGGCTCGGCACCCCCCCAAGCATCGATGTATTGTACAGTGGAATAGCGATGTAAGATACAAGAACCTGGGCTTGCTACCTAGAAGTGGAGGGATCCATCCGAACGGAGATAAATAACTTGGTGCTACGTTACACACTTTCCCATTCGCCTACAAGGATTTGATGTGGCTCTGCGTGTTTCAGTGCGTACATTTTATATCATTAAATTATTTTACTTGGATTAAAACTTGAGATGAAACATCTTGTTTCCAAGGTTTTAACATCTATTGGTTTCACTTGCCTTGGTATGGGGTGGTGTAATGTGATGTGGCTTGGTGTTGTGTGTGTGGCATGGGGTGGTGTGTAGTGGTGTGGTATCACATGGCTTGGTGTGGTATCTTGTGTGTTGCAGATAGACATGGGCCAGGCGAGTCATGACAAGTCATCCATGAGCTCGTATCTTGGCAAAAGAAACATTTACACAGGTAATGAGGTCATCAGTCATGTCCACCACCATCGTCATCATCATCACCTTGAATTTTGTTTGTCAGGTTACCCACTTATAATATTCAAAGTCAAAAGTAATGTCCTTGTTTATAGCGGTGAGCTAGTGGTGGAGATTCCGAATTCCTATGGTTGTGCCGAGACTATCCATAGGACAAGCACTCCTCACTTCCCCACAGTGGTAGTTATTTTACCGACCCTAGAGGGATGATTGGCTAAGTCATCCTCCGATCAGGATTTTAACTAAAGACCTTCATATTGCGAAGCCACACACTCTTCCTTGAAGCCGCCTGACTTGAGAATTCCTTTATTAACATCGCCAAGTGTTCTGCACCGAGTGTAACAATCTGATCCTTTTGCCCATACATTTTGGTCTCGTTTATAATTGATTACTTGGTATTGTAATTTTGGAAGTGATTATGAACAATAGTGCAGTTTTTAGCATGCTGTACTATCAACCCGCCAACATGAGTTAAATTCCTGGTCTAGGCTAACATGAGGTGCGAATGATATCTTAGCCGGTTCCGAGTCCCTTGTCACTCCACATTGACCAAAGCGGTGAAGTAAGGTCACGTTGATCTGCATGACTCACACGGCATGCCTTCATCCACCAACGAATTGACAAAGGGCTGAAAGTTATTATTTTATTTCTAACTAATATCAATTATTCACCGAACAAATTCTGAATTTCTAGACTTTTGCCAGCACCTCACAAGCTATGAATCCAAAGCACCCAATCGCACATGTATTTCAACACACGCAGGTGATTGTTTTGACGTGGATGTTTGGTCGATGGTGGTGATGTTAATGATGCGAATGAATTATGTTGCTAATGACGATGCTTTTGCCTCCCAGACTCCGTGCTCATGTCTGGGACTCTGGGCAGGAGCAGCTCCGTGCGTGAGCGTGCGCAGAAGTTCCAGGCAAACGAATCATTGCCCTTCCAGTTTGGTACTGACTACACTCTGGAGCACAAGGAGCGGCTGGGCCTGGCTCGATCCCAATCGCAGAAGATCGCATCGAGCGGCTCAGAGCACCGAGCAACTCCAAACTCGTTCAGAGGCAACAGGAAATCATCACCACCACCATCATCCTCATCCAAAGACAGCCAGAAATCATCACCATCGTTATCATCAAACAGAAATAGCCATAATTCATCACCACCACCATCCTTAAATAGAGACAGCCGGAAGTCATCACCACCATCCTCAAATAAAGACAGCCGGAACTCATCATCACCACCATCCTCATACGAAGACAGCCGGAAGTCATCACCACCATCCTCATACAAAGGCAGCTGGAAATCACCACCACCATTCTCATACAGAGACAGCCAGAAATCATCACCACCACGGTCCTCATACAAAGACAGCCGGAAGTCATCACCACCACAATCCTTAAATAGAAACAGCCGGAACTCATCACCACCACCATCCTCAAATAGAGACGGCCGGAAGTCATCACCACCACCATCTTCATACGAAGACAGCCAGAAGTCATCACCACCATCCTCACACGAAGACAGCCGGAAGTCATCACCACCACCATCCTTAAATAGAGACAGCCGGAACTCATCACCACCACCATCCTCAAATAGAGACGGGCGGAACTCATCACCACCACCATCCTCATACGAAGACAGCCGGAAGTCATCACCACCATCCTCATACAAAGACAGCTGGAAATCATCACCACCACGGTCCTCATACAAAGACAGCCGGAAGTCATCACCACCACCATCCTTAAATAGAACCAGCCGGAACTCATCACCACCACCATCCTCAAATAGAGACGGCCGGAACTCATCACCACCACCATCCTCATACGAAGACAGCCGGAAGTCATCACCACCATCCTCATACGAAGACAGCCGGAAGTCATCACCACCATCCTCAAATAGAGACAGCCAGAAATCATCACCATCGTTATCATCAAACAGAGACAGCCGGAACTCATCACCACCACCATTCTCTTCCAAAGACAACCAGAAATCATCACCATCGTTATCATCAAACAGAGACAGCCGGAACTCATCACCACCACGGTCCTCATACAGAGACAGCCAGAAATCATCACCACCACCACCACCATCCTCATTGAAGGAGGACCGGAAATCATCTCCGCCATCATCGTTCAGAGCGACTTGGAAGCCTTCACCACCACTCTCGAGACCGAGCCGCACATCATCTCCACCTCCCTCCAGAGAGACCACCAAGTCATCGCTCCTCTCCAGTGACCACTGGAAATCTTCATCCCACGGTGCTTTGCTGCCGCAACCCCAGAATACATTGCAGTCGTCCGGCAGCGGTTTCCAGCAGGTACAAAGTGAATTGCAGCCGAATCCGGATGGGGATGCCGGTGCATGTCAGGATTGGCAGATCACGGACTCTGCCCAGCTGCCACAGGAGGGCGCATGTGTGGGAGTGCTCGGCGAGAGGCTGTCGCTCAGGGAGATGGAAACACAGAAGCTGGAGCCTCCCACCGCTGACCTCTCGCAAAGCCCACGGAGGGGGTTTAAAGTTCGCCTGGCCCCGGATGAGGGCGACACTGAAACCCGGACGCGGCCCCCCACTTGCGGCACGCGGCCCGGAGACGCGCGCTCCTCTATTCGTCCGACGCCGGCCACTACCCCGATCGGATCGGGGTACGTGGAGGAGGCACGATGCGTGCGCCCTTCCGAGCTCGCCATCGCGCGCAGCACAAGCGGTAGAGACGCGAGCGGCGCCGCCCAGTCCACCCTTGGCGCCACCGCCGCGCACTCCACTCGCGCGGTTTTCCACGGGTTTTACAGTGAGCGTTTAGGGAACGGCACGACCGCGCGCGGCGTCCGAGACGTCTCCCCGACCTTCACCGTGGACAGCCTGCTCTCCTCGTCGCTGCTGTGTGGCATCCAAGGTGCCAGCTCTCCGAGCCGGGAGGCGGCCGTCGCAGTCGCGGAGGCCGCCGGAGACTCCGCGACAGCGACGGCCGCCCCCGTGCCGAGACCGTTGACACGGAACTCCTCGGTGAGGGGCAGCCGCGTGTGGGGCGACCGGGGAGCGGACTCGCCCTGCAGGAAGAGGCTCGAGTTTTCGACGGCGCTGAGGAGGAGTGCGTCCCAGTACGCGCTGCGCAAGGAGAAGGAGGGCGAGGCCTCCGACGCCGCCACCCTGCGCCGGCCCGTCTCGCTCCATGCGATGGAGAAGCTTAGCGACGGCGACTCGCTCTACGCATCCGGCAAGCCCCACGCCCGGCCCGACGGGCCCCTTGGCCACGGCAAGGCCACCGTCGGCCTGGCCGCACCCAGCGGCGGTACGAGCAGCCAAGACGTGCCACATGGGGTCGCCGCCGCCAGCAGCCTAGACGGGTCGAGCAGCGATCGCATTGCTGCACCGCCAGAGTCGGCTTCCCCGCGCCGAGGGGAAGTGGGGACAACCGCGCCGAGCAGACGGCAGCCACCATTCATTGTGCCACCCGTCACGGTGCCACCGGTAGGCGCGCCCCCGGCCGACGCGCCACCGGCCAGTGCGCCGCCAGAAGCAGCCAACTCGGCCAGCTTTTTCCGCCGGAAAGGAGGACCCCGGATAATTCGCATGTGCAGGCCCAAGTCGTGGTGCTCCTTCCTCACCGAGACACAGATGAAGAAAGCGAAGGAGGCGGAGGAGGAGGATGCGGAGGAGAAGGAGGAGGCTGAGCCGGTGTCGGCACAGCCACAGGGCTCCGTCCCCAAACGCTGCATCTACCTGGATGTGAAAGCGACGAGAGGCCGTACGGACAACGCTGATGACACTGAGGGTAGCGATCCCGGGCGGTCGGAGCCTCCCGACAAGATGGAGCGTCCTCCTCATCGTGCTGCGGAGGAGGACGACGACACGGAGGAGCCGAGCGATGCACGGGAGGCCGAGGGGACCTGGGCCCTGGGAATGAATATGAAGAACTTGGATAGCACCGGCACTTTGCACCTGAACCGGCGTAGGGCGATTTACTTTCGGCGAAAGCCGGCAAAGCGACGGGAGCAGGCGGTACCAGCCGCCGACACCGGCGACGGCATGGACGGTGCCAGCAGATCTGACAGTGTCGCTCGGAGCGGCGAGACAATCTTCCAGGACCAGCGAGGAGGTGGCGGTGTGCGCCGGTGGGAGTCCCGGTCGTCGAGAGATTCGTGGGTAAGTTGCGATTCCTGGTAATACCATTCCGCCACACTCCCCTTGCCCATACAGTGGCATATCGAGTCTGTTGCAATCTGTGTTCATGGTTGACCGGGTGCTGTGGCAGGCAGCGGCTAGTGTAGATCATGCCTGTGGTAGGTGACAGCTGTCACGGATAGCGGCGTAACAATTTTCTTCGATAAATTATCATGATTCCCTTCGATAAATTGTCATGATTCCCTTAAAGAGTCATGACGTGAACGTAGCAGCCTTGGGTTGGCTATGGGAGTCGGGGAAACCTTCCAACGCCGTTTGACACACGCATCGTATTGAAGAACCTATATAAATTGGTGGTTTTGCATCGTTACTCCCTCTAGTGGTGGGGTGGGGAGCACGTGGGGCGATGAGAGAGAGGTGGGGGGGGGTGCCGTGTGCGTGCGATGGCGTGAGTTTGCTCGCGCTGGGCGTTACCGTTTACTGCTGTGAACTGCGTAAACAAACCCGACCGATATCATCTGGAGACAGGCTACTACAGTGTTCCTATATAAGGGCCTCTAGGTCTGCGTTCGCAAAGAACGCCGGCCCCAGTTACACGACCTAGTTTATATATATAACGTGTACCCTCACGTGTTTACGCGATAGGCGCAAGGCCACTTTTCTGCCAACGGACACGCTGACCGAGAAGCGGCAGCCGCGGGGAATCAGAAGTCGAGTTTTGCGCAAAGCCCACGTGGCACGTCGCGCTAAACCCCGAGGGCCGCGTGGGGCACACCGGTGCGTTGGTTTGTGTGCTCGGTGCGAGTCTGCATTACGCACCCTTAAAGGCTCCCCCGTGTCTCTCGCCGCCGCGTCCTCTATGTCCCGCCGCGGCCCACATTCCCGCGTCCTCTCTAACGCTACCCCACGGGCCGGTGGGTGGGGAGCCATGATGAAGCTGTGATAACATTCAGCTCGCCTTCAAAACTGTCGCAGCCGGTGTGCGGTGTCTAAATGCGACCGCATCTCAAGAGGCCGTGCGGCAACGGTGAGCGTGTTTTCTTTGTAGTGACAAAGAAAGAGGCAGTGAGTCCATAGGCAGAAGGAAAAAAGGAAGTTCTTCAGCCAGGACATGAACAGGGGAGGGTGTCGACAGCATGGATGTTTGGGGAAAGCAAATTCCTAAAGAGTGGCATGAGCAGCCTCCCACTGAGTGGAGTTTGACTGGGGCTTCGACAGAGATCCTTGGCTGCTGGAATGGAGAGTGCTTGGAGGTGGGGAGTGTGGTGAGATGAGAGGGGAGAGATAGGAGAATCAGTGGAGGTGGGGGTGGAGCTGAGTGAGATAGATGAGAGGGGGGAGGCAGTAGAGGCAGGAGACTGCACGGAGGTTGGGCAGTAGAGTGAGCTGAGAGGGGAGAAGTGGGCGAGCGTATGGAGGGGGGGGGGCAGTTGAATGAGATGAGAGGGGGGTGATAGGCAGGGGCTATTCCAAAGAGTTTATGGTAAAAACATTTGACTACGATCCGTGCAAAGCTGTGTGGCTCAAAGATTCACCCCGGGCAAGGGTGCCGAGCCGGCACAGGTGCCACCAGCCCAGAGTCAACGTCAGCATTTGCGCTACGAGTCACTTGTGAGTAGACCGGGCGCTCGAGTGCAGCGAGATCCTAGTCTCTGGCCACTCACCAAAGTCCACACAAAGGAACCATCATGGTTTGCTTGGTTATCACCTAATTTGGCGAATTCCAGCTCTAAGAAAAAATATAAACATTTCCATTTGATTGCCACGCGATGAATGCCTCCGTAGCAGGGCACGCCAGAAGTTGGCACCATCTGACGTAGACAAGAGGCGATTGCAGACACCTCGTACATTGTCCTGTCATGCTAACTTCGAGTGGTCATCCTCTATTACAAGGTTGGTGCACTGTTGTCTCTGAGCGTTATTAATGAAGGTATCTTTATCATGACCGTATGCTGCTGATTGTAATCGCCAGCGAAACATTGTACTCAAATTGTAAATATTGTTGGTTTACTCTCCTCAACACACCGGTGTGCTGAAGTAATAACTAATTGGCACATTTTGTTTACGTCACAAGTCTTAGTAATTGTCTGCGTCGGGTGGTGATGGGTTAATGACACATTTATATTTGCGCGATCTAGCCCAAAATAACCTTTGTTATGAAAATGACAAAAGGCACAAAAATATACGAAACATTAAATTCGTGACAAGTCATCTCAAAATCTAATTGTAGCACGTATCAATTTATGATTTTAAGATACAACCGTTTGCAATTGGCGCCGATGCTAAGTGGACTCAGGCGAGATTGACACGAGCTGGCGGCGATGAGCCATTTGGGACGTGACGCGGTCCTGGGACGGCGCGAGCCGCGAGGCTGAGCGAGCGCAGGTGTCGCGTGCGGGGACGGGGTGGGGGGAGAGCGGCCGATGAGCCGATAGCTCCTGCCCCTCCGAAGACTCTCTTCTCACGCCGATTGTACTCGCTACCAAATAAGGGAAGCGTGCACGAGGGCCACCCACCGAGGGCTGGGCGGTGGTGGCTTTGGAGATGGTGGCAGCGCTGCACCTGAAGGGTTGCATGGCGCTTGTAGCAGTTCCTCGCGACAGCGTGGTGCAGGGGTTCCTGTCCCGCTGCTCCCGTTCCCTCCCACACAAAACTAAACGCTCCTTAGTTATAAAGAAATTGGCCAAACGTTGCGGCATGAAACCCTCCCCAAAAAGTCTGGAGACTTTACCGAGGCTTTCCCGCATTAATAAATGACGTTATTATTACAGTATATTATTTTTGTAGGTTAACGTAGGGGTGGGGGGGGGTGAATCGAGAATTGGCAGCTTTCCCGCACCGAGAGGGATTCCGTCCCACGCGATGGCGAAGTGCCGCAGAGGGAGCCCAGGGTATTGAGGGGTTCCAGGCTCGGGAAGAAGGCGGGGGGGGGCCTCCAGGCCTCGGTGTTGTTCACCAATGTGTGTGCCGTGGGGGTTGATATCTACGCTGATATATCTCTGCGGCGCGTGCTCGGGTTGTACCACAGTTTGTTTGGCACGATGTCTGACGTTTCGCTCTTTAATTTAGCTGGGAGCTTCTTTAATTTATCTGGGACCTTTTTCAATTACGAAGGAGCTGAACGATACAGCTCCTTCAAGACTCTCTTAAAGGAAGCCCCCAACTCGTGGACCGGAACGTCGGGCACGCTGCGACCCAATGTGAGCGGGGACGGCGTTGAGGGGCGGCTGGGCCCCAGTGTCTAACTGGAACACGTGAGAGAGATGATCGGCCCCTGAAGTGCAACAAGGATGCGTGAGAAATGCAGCTGGGCTCCGAGGATTTTGTGAGAGGTAGCCTTGGGACCCAGAGCTGACAAGAGCGGGTAAGGCAGGACGCAGCCGGGCCCTGGAGACGGTAGCTACCTGTGGGGAGCGATGGCGGGGCCCCCGCACTGAGCCGGCACAGGTGTGGGGGCTGCGCAGGTGAGAAGCTGAGAGGCCGTGTGATGTCATAACGGTGGTCCGCACAGGGCTAGGCACACTGACGAGTTGCCGGCAGATTGAGAATGTCTGGTATGTGGAGGCAAAGCCCCCTAATTCCACGAGGGACCATGGAGGCCTTAAGTAATCAGAGCCCGCTGCATTCCTCCTCCTCCTCCGCGCCAAGTGATTCAAAGCAGCGAGCTCTGGGCACAGTGGCGGCCTGAGCGCGTGCGAGCGCGCGTGCGAGTGTGTGTGTGTCATACGCTTGAGTAGTGCGTGAGTGTGTGTGTGTGCACTTAGCTTGGCACAAGTGCCGTGGCGACGTCACCGCCACTTAGTATTGCACAGCGGTTGTTGTTTTTGCGTGTTAGATCTTCTCCGGATAGCCTTTCACAGAATTTTGAGGCAAGTGCTGTTAGCGAGTAGCACCTATGGAAGCCGGCACGGCACACGAGGGGGTGGATGGCCAGCAGCACGCCCGGCTGGTGGGTGCAGTGGTTTGCGCGCTGCGCTACAAATATGGCGACCCTAGTTAGATTCACACTTACGACCAGTAATAGGGGCAAATATTTGGCTCAATTGAGTGCCTGGAGTGGTGTGTAAACAACATCAGCACTGGGGAGACAAAGGCAGCCGGGCGTGGTGGTGACCACCCACCCTGTCATGCGTCGTGTCAGCCTTCGTAGATGCTCGCTAACACACTTCCCCCAGCAGTCTGTTAAGGCTATACGTGTAAAATTTGTCTTTGTATGGGCATGTTCTTGTGTGTAATCCCTTTGTGTGATATGTGAGCATGTGTGCCTTCGTGTGAGTGAGTGAGTGTGCGTGAGCGCGTGTGATTCTGTATGTGTAATCCTGAGTGAGTGTGTGATCTCGTATGAGTGCTTGCTTGAGGGTGTTGGTGCCCTCCCGTGTGTTGGCACGAACTCACGCACTCACCCATGCTCGCACACGCGAATGCAGCAGCAGCAACAGGTGACCCCGTGCGTCAGCAGCGCTCGGGACCCTGAAATCAGCAGCGGAGATAAAACTTGACAAAGTGATGCACTTACCCACACTCGGCCAATCGGATCGCTCGGCCGGATTTAGAGAGCGGAATGACGGGGAGAGGTGGGGGAGGAGGGATTTTGGGAGGAGTCACAGAGATGTGGGAGCCTAGGATGGAAAGTGGGAGTCGAGGAGAGGGAGGGAGGGGAGGGCAGGCGGGGCCAGCCGAGGGTGGGAGTGGGATGGTAGCGGGAGACCTAACGGTGCGGACAGCTGTGACGGCGGCCGCACTCTCCGCTGGAGCCGCGCCGGGTCAGGAAGGGGAGCACGGGAGAGTGAGGATGGAGGCAACAATGGAGGCAGGGGTGGAGACAGCAGGGCAGGTGAAGTTGGCGACAGAGTCCGTCTCGGGGCTGTTACCGATGAGCGAGGAACCGGCTGCAGCGCAGACCGAGGTGAGATCCCCACACTTCTTTCGGGGGCTGGGGGGTGAGGACGCTGCAGAAGTGAAGATCAGACTTCAGGCAGCCATGCGGTGCCGCTCGTGACCAAACCCGCACCGAGCGGATG